GAACTTGTTCCTAAATGTGTTTGCCTTGGACCTTACTGAAGGCAATAGGAAAGTGATGCGTACCCGGGCCTCGAGTCCGAACGATTGGTCGAGCGGGTTTGTGTAGGACCGTCGCCTGGGGGACAGACAGTTGCTGGAAGATTGCTCGAAACAAGGGACTGAGCTACGCACAAAATGCGCAACAGGTTGCTGCTTGAAGCTTTAGCAGTGGTCAGCTTCTAACAGCAAAGAGTACCGTTCCAAGAACTAAACTCTTTGCCAGATCAGAGAGTGGGTTCGTAATACTCATGGTGTAGTATATATTGTCAAGTGTATTAGTGACTAGTAGACGGGGTTTGGATTGATGAATCGGTTTATTGGATATGGACTAGTCGTAACTACAAATAATTATAACACGCTCAAGATGTTTTTTTAATGGCTCTTACAGCGCCACTAAGATGGCGTACAGCGTTCCCTTCAGAATATGGAGACTTGTTCGGACTTCATCTGAATGAGCCGCAGTTCGAATTTGACCCAGGTCGATAGTTCGAAGCCCATGTCGAGGCGTTATGAAGCTAGTTGCAGAGAGGGCTGCAAATTTTCTGTTCCGTGTGCCCCAGCAGTAGGTGCATCTTCTGTCCTAGTAGCAGTTAATGCATAATTTGTTTTATTTCGGCTTTATCCGTCTTCATCTAGCCGATCAGATGACCGCGCCATCTAACGCATTAACCGTCTTCGCCTGCACGAGCACTGGGATCGTGGGGTTGAATCCCACATGAGGCATGGATGTCTGTGTGTGTGTTTATTCTATGTTTGTGCTGTCCTGTGTGCAGATATCTGCCTTGCGGAGGGCTGATCTCCCGTCCAAGGAATTCAACCGACTGTATACGGGTAAAAATATTAAGAAAATGAAAAAGTGGCCAAGGTCCAACAAAAGGACTATAGAGGCATAGATGGATAAATAAATAACACTTACAGCGCAATCACGGCCATTCGCATCTTATTCAGTTCCATAATCATTCTTCACAGACGACAGGACTCCTTGGACAATTGATAGGTTCGTCGCAAGACTTCTACCTAAATACAGGACAACGCAAATACAAGATAAACTCATACATACCCAACAACCATGCCTTAAGTGAGATTCTAACCCACGATCCCAGCGTCCAAACGAGCGAAGACGGTTCATGCTTTAGATTGAGCAGCTACTGTGACCGACAAACCTCTCAAGATTACTGTAATTATAGCACATGTAAAGCCACACACTAAGTCTTTTCAGGCTGACCTCCAATTCTTCCTCAACTACGAAATTTCCGTGGCTATGTCCTACCGGCAGCTGACTCTCTCAAAGTCAAAGTCAAATTCAAAGTCAGAGTTACTTTACGACTTGCGGTTTACCGCTAATCAGTTCGTCTTGGCGCCAAACCCCTTGAGACTCACGGCCAGATTCGTTTAAATTAAACACTTGAGGTCATAATCCTTATGTAACATCCTCTCTGACTTAAGGATGGGTCTGTCGTTTACAACTGTTGCTGGCCCTCACCAGCACATTCATTCTCAGGTCCGAGTCCCACAGTACTCATGACCATATTTACTGTCTCAGATTCGAGAGTTCCCCAACCCGGAGGCCAGGTCCCCGTATTTATATCCCCCAGGAACAGTGTGGCCCAGTTATATCCCCAGGCACTGGATTTCCTTTCCGTCTCCTTCTACGACTCGGAGGGCTACGGTGGAGGTAGTTGGAACTAGCTTCCGCGCCCTGGAGGGCTAGTCTGCTACGCCTTGACGCATAAATTCGAGACGGACCGAATACAAAACACAGCACAGCAGAATTTTGAAGAAGTTTTTATAATGTGTACCCAACTAAAGTAAACCGGTTTACCAAGTGTACATTTTTATTTGCGTCGTATCATTCTCCTTGATGTCAATGTGAGAAAGTAAATAGTAACAAGTTTTTTTTTTGTTTTTTTTTGGTAAATCGTTTTGAAAATATCCCACTCCTGAACAGGAAATATTTCCTTAAAAGTTTCCCACATGCAGAGGTATTTCAAATACTGCCATGTGTTAGAGTGTCTCTCGACGCGGTTTCGGATTGGATATCGGATCTATTGACCACTTACGGATGGCCACCGCAAGCAACTACAACACTCCCTCGGAACCACACACTCCAAATATCACCGCAACCACAGCTCACATATGTCTTTCGTCTTCACCAGTCATTTCAAAGTCAAAGTCAAAGTTACTTTACGACTGTCGGTTTACCGCTAATCAGTTCGTCTTGGCGTCAGGCCCCTTGAGGACCACGACCAGAATTTTTTTCCTCAGCTGAACTCTTGCGGTAATAGTCCTTATGTAACATCCTCTCTGGCGGGAAGATGGGTTTGTCTCTTATGAATACACTTGGTCTTTCGTCAAGTGTATATTTCGCACATATATTAGTCGTTTCTTGGCAACGGATTTCGTTAGATAACCATGGTACGGACCACACAGAAAATACCTCTTCTATTTTAAGGACCGCTGCGTAACAGCAACTAGTAACAGAAAACAAAGTTCCTATTGTTGCTAGACGCAGACCACATAGAAAACACAGGTTCCCTCTATTGTTGCATGTTGGAAAGTTTTTACTGAGCCGTTGCCTGCAATGCTTTGATCAGATCTGTTACATTATATTTGTCAGTGAGGGTATAACCGTCTAGAAACTTGCGTTAGTTTCACTTATTGCAACAGCTACGGAGCTCCTAGAGCATTCTGTTATTTACAACATATTAGTCCATTTGTCCCTTGCCTTATTCTCGGACTTTAACAGACGTTTACCGAATTCTCTGGGTAGAGCAGATGTATGAGACATGAGTGCCGACAGTTGCCTCTCCTTCTTAGTTCAAAATAATATTACTTACGGTTGGAGTAAATAACATCGGTGAAAACTGAGTTATAACATTTAGTTTTTACTCTTGGCGCATTCCGTTTATGTTTTATGCACCAATAAGGATTTATTTAATTTACACATTATATCTCCATATACCTATAGTCATATTCCTGCATATGCGACCATATACAAAAAAAAAAGCCGAAAGTAGGCTTTATGCTATCTCCATTCTGTCTGTGTGTTTGTGAATCCTCCCTTATTAGCCAATAAATGCCTGAACCAGTTTTTATTAACTTTTAACATACTAATGTTAGATATATCTAACAGCAAGAAACACTCCGATGTGGACGAATGTTAAATTTATCTAGTGCAGCACACGTGCTCTCTTTGAGAGTGCTGACAGTTTGATCTTCGGGTTGTAACCACAAGAAACCCACGCAAGGTCAAGTCGGTGGTTCATTCGTTAGCTCTGAACAATGAAATCGTTTATCACGTTATTGGTTTCTATATTATTTACGTTTAGATATGACTGTTTATGACTGGGTCAGCCAGATGGAGCAGCTTTGTTTTGAGAACTGAAAAATAAATATTCATCTGAGAATGCAGATTGGTGTTACTTGAGCTTGCAAGGAAGTGGGTCGTTTTCAAGGATTTGTTTTAGTAGCGAATTGTCAGTCAGAAAGTCAGTGTCGGATTGTCAATTATTTATTTATAAAACATTTTTATTTTGTGTCTCGGTAGAGGTATAAAGCCATTGAAGACTACAATGCACATAATGGGCTTTCTGGATAAATCTGACAGGATGGTAAATAGTGATGGACTTGCCCGGAGGACATGGAAATCGGCAAAGAAATTGTTTTTCCACCTTCTAGACATGACTGACTATACCCAATGTCTATTTATTGCACAAGTCATGTGGTTGAATAATGACACATAAAAAAAATCCGCGAAATCCTAGTGTGAGATTTGATTGTACAGTCGCACGAGGCGAATATCACGGTCAGTGGCGTTTCTCGGAGGGGGAGGCCAAATTCATCTGGGGCCCAACTGAGTCGACTAGAGGTGAAACATTCGCAACATTGGCCATCCAAAAGGAAACAAAGACATCGCGTGTGTTCGCTAAATAAGAAAGCCAGGAACATCATCTTCTACTGTAAAACGTGTGATGGTGGTCTGTGTGTCGAGTACTGCATCGACCAGTGGCGCACGCGCGTCAGAGTGTGAGCACTGAATGGAATTACCACAAACAAAATTAAAACGTACAAATTCATTGAGGCCGGTGTTTTGTTGTAATGATAGACCTTCATATCCAGTGGCATGACGTAGAATCTCACATTTTCAGTTGTTCTTCTCTCTCCTGTCTAAATTCTTAAATTCCCTTCTTTTTGACACTGAACGAGTATATTATACAACATACAGAATAACCGATTATAGCGGAAAGTTATACATCCTAAATAATAGCTCAAACCGAACTATTGTCAATTTCAAATATAATTCTAATTCAAGTGTATTTTAATAAACTAGTTCAAAAGTTCATTTTACAATTGAATTTGGACGATTTCAGTGTAAATACTGTACAGCAAGATGAAGGAGATATATTGGCCGTCAAAGAACTAACGGAAAGCTGATGTCAGAACAAGATTTCCTATGCTCAGAAGTGTGTGCACTATATAAATCACGTTTCTGCTTCCAGACAGCGTAAATTAACCATACCAAACTTCGCGCTTGTAGCTATGTCTGTGCTTAATACAACGCTTTGGTTGGTTACAAAGAGCTCTCTGCTCTGGGATGTAACGTCGTTCGTGTAGTCCGCTGAAAGACAAGAGATGTTATGGCGGAACATGTCACCTCCATTTTCAGGGTCGAAGAATACGCCAAGCAAGAAACCAGCGAGAAGCAGGTATCTACTTGCTGTCTGCTTCATGCTGGTTTCTTGCTTGGTTTAGTCTTTGACCCTGAAGATGGAGGACATATGTGCCTTCGAAACGCCGGTTGACTTTCAACGAAGCAAGCAGCATTGTATCCAGAAGACGGAACTTTTTGCTCTCGATTTTGCAGAAAACGTGCGTGTACTTCAGAGTCTACCAGTAGATGGCAGAGCAGCTACCCTTCGATCCCTCGCTCATTAGATTAGTCGCAATAGTTCTATTCATCGGTCACCAGATAACGTGGTGTTTACAATATGGTGGTTGTAGGTGGGTAGGAAGGAAGGCAGGCTTAAAGCACAAATTCTTGATGTAGTTTCTTAAAGGAATGTGGTACCGATACTGACGAATACGAATGGTCGGAATAATTGGCAGAAGATAGAGTGGGAAGGCACTTCGAAATGATGGCTGCAAAAGGTAACGTAAAAAAGGGAAAGTTATTCTTGTTTTTGAGTAGCAGATGAAGGCGGATGAGGTAATGAAGGTATTTTTCCATCAGTCGTAACCTCGACACTAGATGGAGGTTAATGGTCAGTTTCACGCTCCTTCCAGTTTGTACACGTCGATACAAATTGTGTAATAGGCTGGGTGGGTCCCATTACAGGTCTAAACGTAAGCAGAAGTGAAAAAAACATTTCATAAACATTGTGGGCTATATGTTGTTTATAGTTCTCTAAATACCTGTCACTCTGGAATTGTAAGAATGTATTACCTCCATCTCTACACAGAACCTGGTCTACTTTCTGCTTGCTTGGCTTACTCTTTGAACCTGAAGCTGGAGGTACTACATTCCTCCAAAATACCAGAAAATATCCACTGGTCTACGAGTACATGGCATAACACCCAGAAGATAGTACCATTCAACAGTAAAAACAACTGCATGCTGAAATTTATGATTCTACTGCTGGGTGTCATATTTGTATTTCACATATTTCAAACTGCCAACTTTAGTGGATAGAGGGTGTCGCATGGTCAGCGAAACGAGTCTCCCTGGCCGTTAATTTCGGTTTTCTAGACTAGAGCCGTTTTTGCCTTGAAATAACTCATCAGTCATCCTCACAAGGCTGAGTGGACCCCGTTCCAGACCCACTATTTCTTAGAAAATATGGTAGTGTCGGGAATTGAACCTGGACCTCTGGATCTGTAGCCAGGAACTCTGACCACTAGACCACAGATGCACTAACTTCACCGGCAAGTGATGGTTGCTTGGTCGGTATAGTTCACTTGTGGACTAAAACCGCAGAATTTGTATTGTTTTTGTATTTGAAACTGACATAACAGAAGTGCCACCTTAATACATATAATGGTATTGTTAGAGCCAGGATAGCCACATATAACAACTGGCTGTGGGCTGAACAACCAGGGAATGATTCATTTAAGGAGAAGAATTTTTCTCCTTACCACCATATTCAGACTGACTCAGGGGCCCATCTATCTTTCTATCCAGTGGACACTAGAGGCTCTTTCTCCAGAGGTAAAACTGCCAGATTATGAAATTGACTGTTGACCTCCATGTAGTATGAGGTTAAGAATCCAATGGTCCTTTATCTCCTCTTCCTCATACTGTATGTCTTCATGGTTTGGTGCTTGATTTAATTTAAACATGGATGAATTTACTGTCATATTTGTCAAGTGGTTTGACACATCACATCTGGAAAATAACTAGTTTGAATTCTATATTCTGACTGAGGATTTTATGGTTTTCTTCATATCCTAATGGAATGCCATCCCAAAATTTGAAATGACTGATGTTTTGTCATCCATCCTGGTATATCAATTTCAGTATTCGAGCGCTACATACCTACAGCAGTAGATGCATGCCATAAGATAACTGAAGACTTTACAAGCTATTAAATATACTTAACTCTTAAATATACAGACAGAGCAACATTAGTGCAATTGGGAATTTTTTCCACATGTGTTTTTGTAAATTACATGCAAGAATACTTACTGGCTTAGTTTATTGTATCAATATTAAATGCATAATAAAATTGTCTGATGTATTCCAGGTGGACCAGAAACGGAGGATCAGCAGAAACTACGGTTTCAGGTTGAACTGGAATTTGTTCAGTGCTTGGCCAATCCAAATTATCTCAATTGTAATGCAGTTTTCTATCACTGTTTGAATGATATGTATAATTTCTAAATGCGGCAACATATATTGTGTGTAAATTTTGAATCTTTAATTTCAGTTCTAGCACAGCGTGGTTATTTTAAGGATCAAGTTTTCATAAATTATTTGAAGTACTTATTATATTGGAAGGAACCAGAATATGCTCGTTACCTAAAGTAAGTTCATGGCCTTATTTGTTTGAATTGGTGTGCTTCTCTTTGGCCTTTCAAATTCCAGCCTTAAACTGCTGTCATGATATCCAGTTGCAAAAATTTGCCAGTATGTTTGCCTCTACCCCTGGCCCTTTTTGTACTTGCATGTAGCAGCCAAAAATATTAGTAATAGACTATAGATCTAAAGCATGATTTTGTTTTTATATCTGATTGAAAATATGTGATGCCTTAATGTGATTTAAGCCAGGTACCCTCTGATTTATCTTATATGCATTGCTGATAGATGTTTAATTCACTGTATTAGTATTGGTGCCATATATGTGTTGGGATATACACGGAGGCTGTTGCAAGTATCCTTCAGCAAATCAGGGGAGAGAGACAAGGCTACTTGCATCATCTTGCACTGTGCGCGTTCAGATTCATGCCGCAGTCATCAGGCCAGTAGCATATACACATTACAAATATAACTCGTTACAGCAGATGTTAGAAATGTTCTCTGCTGTCCCACACATTCTTGTACCTCCACAAAGAGTAGTCTTGTGTGATTTCAATTTCAGGAGTTCTGTGGCAGTTAGAACTGATGATTTTGGATCCTTGGCTTTTATGCAAGGCATCTGAATGATTTTTTAAAGACAATGTTAAAGCCTAACACTGCTTTCATCCACTCTCTCTTCACTGAGCTGTTAGCATTTTGATTTTGTCCTCTTTCTTCCATTATTTGTCTTAATTTATTTGCAGTTGTGTGAATAGTTTTTCTCTTTGGAAGTGTAACATCCTGAAATTTATCCCAGACTTTTCTTCTTAGTTTTGTTACACAACAGCTGATCACATACTGGTAGATAACATACATATACACTTCTTGGTTCAGTGTGTAACTCATTTTGATACAAGAAATAATGACCAATTCTTGACTGCTTATGGCACAGGTCAGGTACAGCAGCAGTAGCAGCGTGAGTATTAGGTAGGTTCTAAAGGGTTCTGATTGTGTATAACACTCAGGATTACTGAGTTTTTGGACTTCACCCCTTGTCTGGCATTCTGAAACATACAACAGAACACATAGATTGCTCAGTGAATGAATTTAGCTCTTTCTAGAGTAGGTGTCTCCCGCCCCTCACCTGTGGACAGCAACAGACCAAGTTTCCAAAACGTTGTGTTCTTTTGTGTCTGTTAGAATACCAGATGATGGACAAAGTCAAAAAACCCAGTAATCCTGAATTAGGATTAGGACTAACATATTGCACAGAAACTTGTTTCACTGTAGCTCTTCAGTGATTTAGTGGGGTAATACGGAAGGGAAATTTGACTGTGTGAGGCTGTTGGTCTTTTGATCATACTGGAAATGTGAACAGTATAAGATGACTGAGTAGCNGAGGATTGTGGCCAGTGGTTTCATTGGGAGTGTGCTGGTACAAACAGTGAATTGGCCTTATTGCCTTGGTACTGCAACTCCTGTGTGCAAGCCGTGGTAATAAAGAAGCAAGAGGAGACAATCTTGAGTTTGAGTAGGGAGCTTGAATTTGCAAAAACTGAGATTAGCCTCTTAAAAGAGGAATTAAATTTAGTAGATAATTGTCCTGAAGAATTAAGACTGTATCGAACTCCCGAAGGAAACATAAGATTGTTTTCTCCTCATTAGACACTAAGTTTACTTCAACCAATCGATTTGAACCTTTAGCTATGCTAGAGCCTCAAACTGATGGTAACTCTGTAGACCAGCCAGCCAGTGCTGAATCTAGTTATAAGCCTATATTTAAGGCAAAGCCTAAACATCAGATTCTTGTACTTGGTAGCAGTCATGGTAGGGGTATTGGACAGAGGCTTCAAAATGCTATGGGAGATGGATATGCTGTGACCAGCATATTCAAGCCCAATGTTGACCTGAGGAGTGTCACTGGGGACAGAAAATTTGTGTAAGGATCTTAATAAAGAAGATCAAGTAGTTATAGTTGGGGGGGCCAGGAAACAGTTTAGATAGGAACCTCAATTACCAAATTGAGAATGACATAAGTAACATTGCTCAAAAAACTAGTCACACCAATGTGAAGTTTGTTGGTCTTCTCTGGCGACATGACAAGCCATGGATTAACAGTTGGGTAAGGGACGTTAATCTTCGACCTGAGCGTTCGCTTATGGGGATTGGCAGGACTCACATTGATGGCATTTCTGTCTCTTCAGTAATGAGGAATGAGCATACTGTCCATGGTTTGCATCTTAATCCTTGAGGCAAGGACAAGCTCACGTACCTGTGTACATATGCTTACTAATTATGTCTTAAACTAAATAGTGGACACTGTGATAGTGCTAAGTGTCCAATCAATTGCAAGCGGTGTCATTATCTAGAAGTACAGCAGTAATAACACCATTAATATCTGTATAAAAAACTTGTGAAAAGTATAATATTGAAATGTAAAGTGAACTGTCTTGGAAAATACATATAGAACAAACTATACCTAAATTAAGTGCAGCTTGCTATGCAATGAGATCAATTAAGCCCTTTATGCCACAGGAAACACTGAAGATGGTTTACCATGCCTACTTTCATTCTATTATGAACTATGGATTAAGATACAAAAGAATATACTTAGAATCATTACAGGACGTAGAAGTATAGATTCATGTAGAGATTTATTTAAGAAATTAAAAATTCTACTTCTTCAATCACAATGTATACTATCGCTTCTCTTATTTGTTGTGAACAACAAAAATAAATTTGAATTAAATTCCAATATCCATAACATGAATACTAGACAAAAATATAACTTCCATCTACCTTCATCAAACTTATCACTATATCAAAAAGGAGTGTACTTTTCTGGCATAAAAGTGTACAGTAGTCTCCCACAAAGTATCAAAAACTTGAGTAATGATACTAAACATTTTAAATCAGAGCTAAAGAAATATCTGCATGCTTATTCCTTCTACTCTGTAGACGAATACCTCAATGTAAATAGAGAATAATGTAGAATTAAGCTATATTAGTTTAAGATAAAATTACTTGTACCAGTAGGTATTATTTTGACTTGTTCTATATCCAGAGGTATTAATCTACTTGGGATCTATGGAATGCAAATAAATTCATTTAATTTCACATTTTTATCATAGACTGCAAAGGTTTATGCTTAATTATACTGTAATATGCATACTATTGTTTTATCAGGTATCCAATGTGTCTGTACTTCTTGGATTTGCTACAGTATGAACACTTCAGACGTGAAGTTGTAAGTGCACAGTGTACTAAGTTCATAGATGACCAACAGATCTTGCTGTGGCAGCACTATACAAGGAGGAGGACACGGCTATTACAAAGTCAGGCAGAGCAAGTCCAGAATCAAACTGCAGCCAATACTAATGGGCAGAGTCAGCCACAGAAGACATGACTCTATCGACTCACTGTATTTGTACGTTCGACTGTATCTATTGTATGAAACATCCGTTTTCTTTGCCAGAATCTCCTGACTAACATTAGTTGGCACTGCACTGTTGAAGCTTACTTGGGAAGAAATGGCATTCCTTGAAAGTTCTTAAAAGTATGGATGTTTTAATTCATTATATGAACTATTCTGCAGTGTATAAAAGTGTTGAGTGATTTTCTGAGTCACATGAAATTTGAATTAATAGGTTATTTTGTTAGATGATTGATCACATAACTTTGTGCAAATAATTTTTTAACCTCAGAAAGAAAAATAAAATAATATATAATTATATTATATATGATTTGGTTATTTATTATAGTCCTTTATTGCAGTTTTATATCTTTAATCTTAGGACATCTAGCAACTGTGACCATCATGAATTTAAGGTAGAAACAACCATTTTCTTTAGGTTCATATTTTTCAAGTGTCATGTTTATTATTCTGTATTTTTCTTTTGGTGACAAATCATATTTGTATGAAGCCATTAGTTCCTTTATTAAGAATATGGTCAGTAAATCATGTACTGGTAAATGAGACTCTAATTAAAAATATAATTATGTTAACAATCATATTTGAATGCAGCGTACTAAGTAGCCTGCTAAAGAATAATGACTGGTGTTAACCCCGCTTTCTTGAAGAATTAAAACTCAGCTTAATGAGGTCTATGAGGTTTATACCTAGTATAAAGAGTTAGGTTAGACAGGATTATCAGTTTGAAGGACTGAATGTAAGTATGGAATGCTGTAAATCAGCTTGTTTGATAATATGGCTCTAGAGATCATGTATTGTGGTGAGTGTCAAGATTGTCCCCCATAGACGAGACAGGTTAGGGTATGGTGGGTAGAGCAGTGCTTAGGGTACTGCTCATGTCATTTCTCACATTGGCAGATTGATCTAGAGCAGTGGTTCTGAAACTTTTACTTCTGCAGAACTGTTTTGGCAATAAAAACCCCCAAAATTTTTAAAAGAAAAACTTTTTCAAGTTCCTGTTTTTAAAATGCAACCTTACTTACTTACTTACTCATGGAGCTGACACCTTCTGGAAGAGCCGCCAATTCTGCAGCTACTCAAGAATTTCCCAGCATCTTATGGAACCCAAAGGTTCATTACCATGTGCACAAGAGCCAGATATATCCAATCCATATCATCCCATCCTATCTCTCTAAGATCCATTCTAATATTGCCCACCCATGTATGCCTTGGTCTTCCCTGTGATCTCTTTCCTTCTGGCTTTCCCATCAGTATCCTGTATGCATTCCTCATTGCTCACATTCGTGCTACATGCACTGCCCACCTCATCCTCCTTGACTTGATCATTCTAATTATATTTGGAGAAGAGTACAAGTTATGAAGCTCCTCATTATGCAGTTTTCTCCAACCTCCTGGCACTTCTTCCCTCTTTGGTCCAAATATTCTCCTCAACACCCTGTTCTCAAACACCCTCAGTTTATGTTCCTCCCTTAATGTCAGAGAACAAGTTTCACACCCATACAGAACCACAGGCAAAATTATAGTTTTGTATATTCTAATTTTTATGTTTTTGGACAACAGATGAGAAGACAAAAAGTTTCTGGACTGAATGGTAGCAAGCATTACCCAAGTTCAATCGCCTCTTAATTTCCTCCTGAATCAGGTTTTGATCTGTTATCGTTGTTCCCAAATGTCTGAACTGTGCCACATTTTCAAAACATCTGTTTCCTATCTTTATGTCATGATTTTGCCCTGAATTTTGGTGATGAGACAGTAACATATACTTAGTTTTCTCTGTGTTTACTTCTAGACCACCCTCTTTACTTGCGTCAATTAAAGTTTGTGTCTTTTCCTTTATGGTATCTGCATTATCACCCAGTAGATTCACATCATCGGCGTAGACCAACAGCTGACGTGTCCTGCTTAATTTCAGTCCCACCTGGTCTCCCTGGACCTTCCTAATTGCTTACACGTATTCTAAAGCAAAGTTGAAAAGGAGTGGTGATAAAGCATCTCCTTGTTTTAGACCATTCTGGATAGGAAATTTATCAGATAAATGTTTACCTACACGGACTTCACTATACGTTTCGTTTAAACACATTTTAATCAACCTAACTAGTTTCATGAGTGTTCCAAACTCTATTAGAATATTGTACAATAATTCNCCGGAATTTGATCACTGCCTGGCGATTTATACAGTTTCAATTTTGCAATAGCACTTTCAACCTCAAAAGGGCTAGCATCAGCCACTAATGGCTCAGCTGTATGGATTTCTGTCTGCCTAACAGAACTACCTTATGTGCATTCAATAACTGAGAGATGTAGTTCCTCCACCTATTCGAAATGTTGTGGGGATCTGCAAGCAGATCACCATTCTCATCCTTCACTAAGTTATTGCTAGGCTGGTAACCCCTCTTAAAGTAATTTATTCCTCTATACATGTCTCTAATGTTCTTGTTCTTACTGTTCATTGCAAGCTCATCAATTTTGCCTTTCAGATAGTCCCTCTTTTTATTCATGAAATGCCTGCTGGTCTCACGTCTTACATTGCTCTCATTATCCCTATTTATTTCTCTCTGATCCTGTAACCATTTGAATTTGGATTGTTTTCTTTGGTCTAGTAATTCTGAGCATCCTTCAGCGAACCATGGCTTATGCTTCTTCAGTTCACAATAACCTAGACTCTCCTTGGCAGAAATTATGAAATTCTCTCTAATAGTTTCCCAAGCTTTATTAACATCCAACTCAGTGTGCAAGTTTTCCAAGGCCGCGAAACTATTTGGGATTTCAACACGATACTTCTCTTTACCCTCTACCTCATTTAATTTCTTGAGATTGTACCTCTCCATACGAACGCTGTGCGCTGTTTGTTTGCTCACTGCCAGTCTTTCCCTAACCTTTGCCACCACCAGGTAGTGGTCAGTATCACAGTCTGCTGCCCTGAATAACTGGACATCAAGTATACTTGTGTCCCCTCTCCTGTCTATCAAAACATGGTCTATTCGATTGTGTATCTTCCCATCAGGAGATGTCCAAGTAAATTTATGGATGTTATGATGTGGGAACATTGTACTTTTGACAGTAAGATTTTTTGATGTGCCAAAGTTTACAACTCTTAACTCCATTATCATTACTAGGGCTCGGATTTCTATGACATGTCATATTTTTATCCTGGCATCTTTTCACATGTATAATTAAATATAAACACAGTTATGACTCTTGTGAACATGAAAATACGGTTTTTATTGTTCATATAAATGCATATTTGAACCATATTTTAGCTTTAGGTTGTATTTGGGCCTGAAGTGATATAAAATCATATTATTGGTAATATTTTAGGCGAGTTTCACTTATTGCTCAGAAATATATTTGCAAGTATTGGCAACGATGTTATTTGGAACTTCATTTCTTAGAAATATTTGGCCTTGTGTAACGGGATTTGAAGGAATACTGTACAGTGTGAAGGGTAACGGTTCTTGACCTGGCGTAGAATCAGCCACTTTGAAAAGAGAAATTGCCACCTCTGCCTCTGTCTGTCTGTCTATGTCTCTTTTTCTCCTCCACTGCAGTGATACCTGAAGTCCAGTTTGTTTCTTGCATATTGGTGAAAAATTTTTCCATCCACAAAGCGGTAAATTTCTACCCTCTCCCCAAAACCCGTCCAATACAGTACTGTATTCATAACTTCAGTTGTTCAGTATAGTTTCAAGATGCTTAAAGTCAAGTGCTCTAATAGCGTGAAGTTGCATGGTTTTATTAAAGAGTTTGGTGGCAAATATTTTAGTACTGATGGAGAAATTTTATTTTGCAAAATGTGTGAAGTGAAAGTTACGGCAGACAAACGTTTTACGGTGCAACAACACTGCAATACAGCTGAACACAGAAGCTGTGTAAACAGAGAAATTACCATGGAAAGTAGACGGCGATTGTTGTTTGAAAAGTCATCCTCCAGTTCACCGAAATCAGGAAATGCCTCCGAGTTTTCAAAGGATCTTTGTACTATGATGGTTTCATCAAATATTCCATTACATAAAGTAGATACACCTAGTTTCCGAAACTTCCTCGAAAAACATACAACTCATCCCATTCCGACCGAATCCACATTAAGGAAGAACTATCTCACTTCCTGCTATGATGTTACCATCAATAAAATAAGAAACTGTGTCGGAAATAGTAAAATATGGGTGTCTATTGACGAAACTACCGACGTAAGTGGTAGATTTGTAGCGAATGTTGTTGTTGGTATACTGAAAGATGACCAGCCTCGAGATATATTCCTATTGGCATGTGAGGTGTTGGAAAAAGTGAATAATTCTTCCATTGCTGTTGTTTTCGACAATGCGATGAATTTGCTGTGGCCAAATAAGGTAGAACGAGAGAATGTGCTCCTCTTCTTAACGGATGCCGCTCCATATATGGTAAAGGCAGCAAAGGGACTTCAGGTACTGTATCCCAAAATGATTCATGCAACGTGTCTCGCACATGCTCTGCATAGGGTAGCAGAAGAGGTGCGAGAGAGCTACTTTGATGTAGATAAATTAATAGCAAATGGGAAGAAAATTTTTGTTAAGGCTCCACTTCGATTGCAGAAGTTTAAAGAAGAGGCTCCATCACTACCCCTTCCCCCTAAGCCTATTCTAACACGATGGGGGACTTGGCTCGATGCTGCAGATTATTATTGCACACACTACAGTGTGATTGAAAATATCTTCATGAAGTTTGACAGAGATGATTCATCTTCAATTCGAACTGTACAAAATTTGTTTTCATCAACCACGTCAAGAAATCTAGCGTACATAAAATCAAATTTCAGTGTGATATCAAAATCCATCATTAGACTTGAAGCTGTGGGCATGCAACTGTGCAATGCATTACAAATTGTTAAGAAAGTTGAAAGTGAACTACATCAAGCATAGGGCAAAGTTGCTGTGAAAATTAGTGTAAAATTACAAAATGTGCTCCAACAAAATCCTGGATATTCAACACTGTGTACAATTTCTGACATTCTTTGTGGCAAAGAAGATGAATTTGACAACAGTGAATTAGAACTTGACGCAAGTGATTTGACTTGTTTTAAGTATGCCCCTGTGACATCTTGCGACGTAGAAAGGAGTTTCTCCAAATACAAGGCCATTGTTAGTGACAGTCGGAGGTCCTTCAAGTTTGAGAATTTGAAAATGCATGTTGTCATTCAGTGCAACTCTACTGAAAAGGAAGATTAAGGTACCGTACAAATTATTTACCTGCAACTATTAGCACACTTTACTTTACTTTTCACGCTAAAATAAACAATACTTTCGTTCATGTTTTCTCTTTACAGGGTCAG